GGCATGGGGCTGAATGGGGTGGGTGAGCTGAACTGAGGGGGCCACCAGAAAGGGACAGAACTCATGGAGAGACAGGGTGACAAAATTAATTGCTGAGCAGGGGATGGGCAGATGTGGGGATGAGAGCTCCTGTAATGGGGGCCAGAATCACCTTACTTAATAAATCTGGCAGAGTGGTAAACACCAATTGTCATATGCAGGGGATGGGCAGAGTTCAAAAATCAAAAGAAACCAAAAACGCAATACGATTTTTTTTTTAAATCTTGTTTTTTTTTGGGGGGGGGGGGGGGGGGGGGGGAGAGGGAATCCAGCTCATGATTTTTGATCTCCTAAGGATGGCAATATGGTTGCCATGTGTTTTGCATGAGTGAGATTATGGGGCTGGACCTGATGATAGTCTAAAAACAGCATCAGCAAGTGCATGGTGGACAGTAAAAAGCATGTTATAAATAAATGGTTATTTAGACACACGTGTCCAATGACCTCTTGGCAGCTTAAAAGAACAACTAAAGCTGATGTACTTTTAAATGAACCTTTTGCCCAAGTAAGTTCAGGAGAGGCCTAGGGAAATCTAATCAAAAGTTGCCAAGGATGTGTTCTAATGAACAAGAAAGGCCAGAGTATTCCATAACTGCTGGCCCTTGACCCTAAAGAATCTGCCTCCTGTACCTTCTTGACTGTACCTGCATTGTGGCTTGCTCACAGTGTTAAGTAGACAGATAGTGAAATCCACAATGGGATTTAAATGCTTAACTTTAAGTGCCTAAGTCCAAAATTGAGATCCTCAGAACCCCTGCTCAGCTGCCACCTAACCTTGCGGACACCTAAATACCCTAGGGGCCTGCATTTCCTAAAGCACCTAATTTCTTTTGGTGGTCACGCACAAAGCCTCCTAAATCCTCCAGCAGAATCCTCAAACTACACATTTACCTACCCGTATTCACTGGCACAGAGACTGAGACCTGGGGCTCCCAAGAGACTGCTGTAACCATGAGGCAAGAGAGTCATTCACTCACTCTATGGCCCAATGACTATTTAAATATTTCATACAAAGCTTCAACCCCAGAGATTGACAAACACCCAGCTTCCTCTCCCCACCCCCGCAGAATACCTTATCATCCAGTAGGTAGGGCAGGGAGGTGGGAGGCTGGGGTCCAAGTCCCTGCTCTGAATCAGACAGGGTGGGAATTTGAACCCGAATCTCCCACATCCCAGGTGAATGGTCTAACCACATGGCTCTCGGATATAATGGGGGCACAACCACTGGTTTTCTTGAGAAAGGGTTGACTGGGTTTAGGTGTTTAACTCCAGCAGGGGGTTCCTGGCTAGGCATCCCTCCGGTCCAGAATTAGGCCGCTAATTTCTTTGGAGGGGTGGGACTTAGGCTACAGCCCTCTTCTCAGCATTTCCGATTGGCTAGTTTAGACAGCTCCCTGCTCAGCGTGCTGGCTTTTGCAAATCCCATTCTTAGACACCTAACTCTCCCCTAGCATTGAAGAGGGCGCCTGGGCTTCTAACTCAGGGCTGGGAAATCCACTAGGCAGCAGGGCACCTACAGATAGGTGCTGCAATACAAAGCCCAAGTCCCCTTTGTGGCTCTAGCTCTAACTGCCTCAGCACAACCTGCTCAATCTGATGCTACTACTTTTGATGCGCTGTAGCTGCCTCAAGTCAACATCCTTGACTGTTGGTATCACTTCATCATGTGGGGCCACAGGTCAAGGGGCACACACTGGATCTTTCACAGGCTGAGCTAAAAAAAGAAAATCAATTTCAATCCTCCTAAGATGAAACCACTGATGTGTGCAAGCACTAATGTCCAGAAGGCAGATCCTACCAGGAGACATGAGGGTGGCTGTCTTCCATCCATATCTTGAGGGGCTGTTAAAGGGAGATCAGTGCCAATGTACAGTCCACAGACTAAATTCTTTCTATACCACTGGGGACAATAAGTTTTGAACTCATATGCCATGGTGATTAAATGCACTGTGAGAAAAAAAGAATAGTTGGGGAAAAAAATCCAGTATATTTAAGGCAAGTGTGTAATGCATGTAATTAGAGAAATTAATTACCACTGTGTAAACTAGAGTCTAATTTCACCTGCAGTTTGACTTCAAAAGTCTGAAAATGTGCCTTTCAGCTCTCGGTTTTAATTTCTATTTTAGATATCAACTGCATTTAGACCGCTCAACAACAAAAAATTCATAAGGGCCTCTTCAAAAAAAATGTACATATCTGAATGAATATCAATCCAATGTTTAGCAATAATTTCCTTTTTGCTTAAGTGAGTATAGCAGCAAGAAAAAGAAAAACAATAAGCGATACAATATTTTCTTCAATCATTTCATATAATTGTGTCTTGCAATGGAAACATACCGTGAAACAGCTTCAGAGATGAGTCTCATCAACAATAAGGTTTTTTCTGTGTGAGTAGTTGAAAACAATAAAGGTGATTAAGCGTTTTAGTTGAGTATTCAAAATTTAAGCAAGCGGAAGAAAAATCAAGAATTTGGCTTTTAAAACTATTTTGGTAAAGAATCTAAAGTTTAGTTTATTGTGTTGAAATGAACAGAACACAACTTTACAGTGAAACTAAAGCTAAACAGTGATCTACAAGTGCCAGGATTAATAAAAAACAATAAAACAAAACATTCTTGTACTTGATTGTTCACTACCCTCTCCCATAATTTTATTATTATTATTTATATTGTGGTGGCGCTTAGGGGCTCCAGTCATGGATCAGGACTCCATTGTGCTAGGTGGTCTACAAACAGATCAAAAAACAATTACTCCTGCCCCAAAGACTGAACACTCTCAGAAATGTTCCAATGAATCTCCCTGAGATGCTCCCCAAACATTCACATTGTGATTTCTTTCACAACCTAATGCATTCCAAACTTGAATCAAGCCAATAGGAACACCCTACTGTAGTTAAGAGCTTGCGATCACGGTATTTTGAACACTAATTCACTTAAGGGCATATATTAAAACCTCTCTGAAGACCAAATGGCCTTCCTCCCACAGTTCTTATTAGGTCTTACTATGAAAATTTTTATCCAATTCCATTTAAGGAACATCTCTATTAAAGCCAATTTTCACTTTTTTTTTTTTTAAACCCAGCTCCTCCACTGTGCATTGTTGGAACTGCAAGGAATCTGGAATCCCTCATCTTGTCTGTAATTTTTAAAAAGGACACTAATAATGAGAATAGGGGAGGTTTGCAATGTTATGCATTAGCAGAGAGCCATCAGTAAGTGTGCAAACTTTCAACATGAACATTTTGACCCCTTACTCCTGCGTAACTTTTACACAGGTGTACAGTCCAATTGCAGAATCAGGCCCTTAGGAGAGGGCTAGCTTTAAATCAGGGAGCTTAGTTTTAACCATAATGTTATGGACTGCCAGGGGATCCAGGCTCCGGGGGATAGCCCTATTACACAGAACCATCGATATTTAAGCAACTCAGTGAAGTCGGCATTTCCACTTCTCCTCCCTTAGGTTCTAAATATTTCCACAATAAATTTCCATCAGACAATCCCGTTTGCGGTTGGTTTTCAACTCACAATACATCTTCCGAGAAAGAAAACAAATACACAGATGAGTGCTTTTAAAATGCGCCCTCAGCTAACGCGCTCCTTATTTAACACTACTGTAGACAGCAGCAATACATTCAGGAGGCGCATCATCAAAAAGACAGATTGCAGGTGTAAGACCATCTCCGACCAGCCATCAGTGTATAGACGGGCTGCAAGCCCCGTGGAACTGGAGCAGCCACTAACAATGCGGCTCACTTCAATGTGTACTTTTAGGGTTTCTGGAGGGTGGGAGAGTGGGGATGTTTGCAAAAGCGCTATTCAAAATCAGAAACAAAGCTCTAAACGTGGGATTGGCATTTCCCTCACCAGCAGCCCCCGGGAACCCCCAAACGCCAACAACATAACGGTGCGTAACAGCAAACGCAAGACAAGGGGCGTCTTGGTGCGGGGCTGTCACAATAACATGGCTGTGCGTGGAGATCTAATTGAACCCTGGGAATGATGGCTCGGTCACACACTCAGCTTCCCCCCATCCGCAGCGCTTCGTCAGGAGCCCGGGGACCCTCAAGGCAAAACAAAATAATCACTCAACCAGGTCACGTTGGTTGTTGGCTTTCCTCTCTGCTTGGACTCCAGGGGCTGGTGTGTTCTGGGGTGAGGCTGGCGTTGCTGTGGGTTTGGTTGGGGCCGGGCACCTCGGGGACACGAGATTTCAGACCGAATCTTGGGGGTTTCCACGGATCGCTTAAAAGCCGGGACAGAAAATTCCGCTTGTTCTGGTGCGGACGGGGAGGGGAGGGAGCAAAGGGGGGTTGCAACGTGCAGATGCGAATGGGTAAAAACTGCTGCCAAAGGCTGGAGAAGGAGGAATTGCTAGTTGCCCTGTAATGAGGGGGGAAGTGGGGCGCTAGAAAGGCACTCCTGCCCACCCCACCACCCTCTCCAGCAGCTATAGGCTGCCCTCTGTCCCACATCCCTTCTCCTGCACGCAGCGGCGACCTGACCTCCCCACTCACCAAGGAGGCAGTGCCTGGGGCCGCCCGCCCTCCTTCCACGGGGGCAACCAGCCAACTCTTCAGGGGAGCAACAAGGAGGCACCCCCCCCCCCTGCCCCCCCCCCCCCCCCCCCACCCCACGCGGCCGCCCCCCCCCCCCCCCCCCCCGGCCAAATCCCGGCCACCCCCCCCCCCCCCCCCCCCCCGGTCCGTCCCGTTCCCAAAGTCCCACCCCCGTCCCCAGACAGAGACACTGCAATAGACAGGGAGAGCCCGGAGTTGTTATTCCCGCAGTGAAGACGCTGCACTTCTTGTTGCCACCCAGGAGAAGCCCCAGCTGCTGTGCACTTCTCCGGGCACACACACAGACTGCGCGCACAAGCGTCTCATCCAATCCCCCCCCCGCCCCAAAACAACCGCCGCCGCCAGCCCCCGTCTGCCTGGGGAGAGAGACTCTCGCAGCACTAACCTGCCGCGGCAAACCTCGGCGCCCGGCGTCCCTCTGCTCCCCATGGCGCGCGCGGCAGCGGCTCTGGCTCCTTACCGCGCACGTGGCGCGGCCACCCCGGGAGAGCCGCTTCCCTGGGTGCCTGCCCCCCCGACCCCCGTCCGCGCGCAGCCGAGCCCAGAGGCAGGAGCAGGGGGCTGGAGAGGAGCTGATCCCGGGTCGCCGCCTCCTCTCCAGAGGGGGGGGGGGTGCGCAGAGCGGCTCCCTCCCCACCCCTCTCAGTCTCCCTGGCGGGGAGGGAAGCATCGCTGCTCACAGACTGTCTCACCCTCCTCTCCCCCCGTGCTCTCCCGCGTCCCCCGGGCCGGTGCATAGCGAGTAAGGCACCAGCCCGGGGCCAAGAGGACACGCGGCAGGACCTGCCCCCTCCAGGAGCAAGGACATTTCCACAGCCACACTGGGCCCTACCCCACGCGCGGGTGTTTCCCACCCACACCTGCCTCTCCTCTTGCCACTCGCGTCCCAGGCGCTGCCATCCGGGCGGGGATACAGGGCGGTGCCAGGAGCCAAGGGGGGTAGCCACCAGCTGTCTGTTGTCCATACGTGGGCACTGCACGGCCAGGACAGGGCTAAGCGATGCAAGAGCCAAGCAGGGCAGCTAATCCAGCCCTGGGCCAGCGCAGGCTACTCCCCCACTGCCCCCCACGCCCCTTAGGATCTTCCGATTTTATAGGGACAGTCCCGATTTTTGGGTCTTTCTTATATAGGCTCCTATTACACCCTCCTCCCCATACACACACACACCCGTCCCGATTTTTCACACTTGCTGTCTAGTCACCCTAACAACAAGGGGGAGCCTTTTGCACGCTTCTTCCCAGTGCGGCAGCCATTTCTCACCACTCGTTTCGGGGGGAGGCTAAATCTGAACCAAACAGCCAATGTAGGGCCTCGCCTTGCAAACGTCCGACAAGAAACAGGTTTCTTGGAAAGCTGTGTGGTGTTGCTGCCGCCACACAGGGCCTGCTTTTCAGAAGACCCCGTAATAGCTACTGCTAATGGGGTGTTTTTTTCCTCCTGGCTTCTCTCAGTCACCCATGAAAATTTAATGAGGCATTGAGGGCTGTTACCTTCAGAGTCAATGGGGTAAGCATATTTAGCCTAATGCACTTGCTGCCGAGCCCATAGGTCTATTGCAAGCAGATCAGGAGTCCTAGAGAGACTCTCCTTTCAACACACAATTCACGACCCATTAAACTTATTCTGTGATAACAGCTTCTGTACAAACGTAGAACCATACAAAATAGAGGCTGTCATGCACTTCCTGAAAAGATTTACATACAGAGGAGAAGTACATTCCGAAGGTTAGTTCCTTTACCAGATTTATCTCCAATCAATACAAAAAAAGGAGATCGACCACAGCTAACCAGGTAAATTGCAAAAGGAAAAACAATTCTAAGTCACAAAGGTTTGGATCTTTCTTCCATTGAAGTCAATGGGGAAATTCCCCTAACAGAATAACTAATCAGATTCAAAATTATAAACAATATCTTACTTTTATAGCCCCTTTCATCTTAAAAGATCCTATAACACACCACCAAATTAGCAAACATCATCAAAAATACACATAGGGAAAACATGTATACTTCTCACACTAGTGAAATAGTCTTTTCTGAGGCAAATATGACAACTGCCATGCCCTCGCTCCTCCCCCCTACACCCCAGAGCCTCCTGCATGCCACGAAACAGCTGATCGGGAGGTGTGGAGAGGGAGGGAGAGGCACTGATCGGCAGGGCTGCCGGTAGGTGGGAGGTGCTGGGAGGAGAGCTGATGGGGGCTGCTGATATATTACTGTGGCTCTTTGGCAATGTACATTGGTAAATTCTGGCTCCTTCTCAGGCTCAGGTTGGCCCCCTGCATTAAATTATGTGAAACCCACTATTTCAAACCTCTTGCATTATGGCTGATATTATATATATATTTTTTCTATAGCACCCATCACTGCAGTGTCCAGTCTGTTATATTTTTAAAATAACTGTTATAATAGTCCAATAACCCTTGTAATGTATTTGATAATTACAATACTTTTCAAAAGCCAAATCCCAGTTGTCAGAGTTTCCATCCAAAAACTTGTATTCTCACAATCTACTTTTACCGCAAAGCTACTTTCCAGTTCCACTTACTGGAGAAATTACAGTTGGGACTATCGATGGAGCCTCAGGGAGCATATACCTGCAGACCTTTGTCTGTGATGGTATCTAGTAGCAATAAGTCTTCCCTTCAGTGAGGATTTCGCCTTCAGAAGAAATGCATAAACAGTCCAAAGACAGCAACTAAAAGTCACATTTCTGGTAACTTCTTCGGACCATGTATTGCACCCTCTGTATTTGACTAGGATTATTTTTCATAAAAGGTATTGAAATATAAGAAAACAGTTGTGGATTCTAGATTCCTCAAAATGCACGCTTCAGATTAGTCAATGCAATAGTGAACAAGATGCCCCACATGAAGCTTGCCCTTACACACTGATCAGGAAGTTGTATCTGCCATGTAGCCAGCCTGTCACAAGTCTTTCTATGCACAGGAAAGATGCTACATGTTGAGGCCATGTCTACATTACAAAATTATGTCAACCTAATTTACATCGACATACAGCCACCGCAGTTATTAAATTGCTTGTGTGCGCGCACACTTGGCTTCTTGTTTCTGGTGAGGACGTGCATCTTGTATTGATTGTATTGTCAGTTTGGGTCATTGTGGGAGGGCTCTTGAAAGCCAGTAACAGGCAACGTAAACAACACAGTGTCTACACTGACATAGTGTTGATCTAATTACATCAACCATGACTCTACGCCATTCGGGAATGTGGTGTTACTAAAATCAGTGCAGAGAGGCACTTACATCAGCAAGAACCAAAAAAAACTGAAGACACTCACAGCTAGGTCAACGCAAGGAACCATGTAGCATTGACCAGGCCTTAGTAACAATAGTAAGAACACTTTGGATAAGAGTAGTTAATTCTATTCTCATTGCTGAAATGTATTGATGCAAGTCACACTTCCTTACAATATTTTTTTAAATATAAAAGAATGTAATTGCTCACCAGATTGTAATATGAATGCAAATGAACTTGCTGTAATTATACTTTGCAATTGTCTACTTTAAAAACTAAGAAAATAGAACAGACCCGAAAAGTAATTTGAACTGCAATTCTTCATTGTACCCCTGCATTATGCAAGAGTTACCATAAGCAATCTCTTTCTGTTTTAATGTAAAATATTTTTAGTTTATAACTTTGCATCACAGGTACCCGAATGAGACCATTTTAATGGTCACAGATTTTTTTTCCAAGAGAACAATGTGACAAAGACATGAGATACAAAAACATAATTAATTCAGTTTGAGGGAGCCTGAAAGGGCTTGTTAATCTTTTTCTAGGAACCTCAAGTAAATTCAACATTCCTCCATCCTATATTCTAATCACACTTTATACCGTCACAGAGTTCCCCCTTAAAAAAAAAATCAAATCGGAGATTAATGGATAAACCCACAACAATCTATACATACAGGTCAAAGGAGAGGTTATTCCATAGCAGAGTATGCCCAGTAAGAGGAATTGAGAGACCCTAACCAGGAATGCCTAACCTAGACAATGCTATTATCATTGCATAATATGAAGATATGAAACTAATGAGGTGATACTGTAAACAGACTTTTGATGTACTGAACGGTTGTCATAGGTAAGGTGCCAGGTCCTCTGTGTAATACTCTTTCTCTTATAGCACTTAATGATCGATAGAGTAACCAAAAGGCAAGCAGGACTTCCTTTTCAATGTTCTATTAGGTGTAAAATGAAGAGGTAAGGATCCATCATAGCACATTTTTTCTCTAATAAGCACTGGTAGAGAGAGTGATAGATCTAAGGTAAAGCCAAAGGCACTTAACACACAGTCTTATTTGGCAGATAAGGGAATGTTCTTGTCACTTACAGGTGCTTGGCAATGATTTTTTTTTTTTAAATTAGACTTGTGCTCTTTTTTGTTTCTTTGTGATACACAGAAAGTTCTGAAAGGCTCCCTGCCCTCTCCTTTACTTTCCAAAAAGGAGGGGAAAAAATCTGCTTATTTTTCTTAAACATTAGAAGTACCAAGAATGTCAAATTTCATATTCCCTGCTTTTGCTAGAGGGTTTCTTGAGGTTTTAGAGCATGTTTACTATAACTAAAACTCTCACCAACTTTAACGGTGCAAGATGAGACCCTAACACTCAACTGAAGGGGTTGAGGATGTAGAAACTTTAACAAAATCATCTTTTATCCAGAATGTTAAGTCACTGAAGTTATGAAAGTGTTAAAAATACAGAGTTGTAAACAGTCCGACTAAAAATCTCTTCCCTTCTAAAATGCTTAGTTTTTGCCAGGGCCGGCTCCAGGCACCAGCTTTGCCAAGCAGGTGCTTGGGGCGGCCACTCCGGAGAGGGGCAGCACGTCCAGCTATTTGGCGGCAATTCAGCGGCCTGTCCCTCACTCCCGCTCGGAGCGAAGGACCTCCTGCCAAATTGCCGCCGCAGATCGCGACTTTTTTTTGTTTGTTTGTTTGTTTTTGGTGCCGCTTGGGGCAGCAAAAACCCTGGAGCCGGCCCTGGTTTTTGCACTCTGATCTTATGATGCCATAATTTCACTAGTTCTCCAGTCATTGTAGAGCTGGTTGGGATTCTCCTTCTAAAAGTTTTTTCAAGGGAAACTAAAGTTTCCACAAAATCCCAATTTTCCATGAGAAAATTTTGATTTTTCCACAAAATTTTCAATTTTCTGTCAATAGTCTATCAAGGTGAGACAAATCAAAACATTCTGGTTTGTCAAACCAAGTTGAAATGTTTCATTTCAGGTCAGTTCAACATTAATGTATGTCCACCTGAGCTGATGATGTAATTCATGGGAGGTGTTGTTCAGGTGCCTCATTCCCCTCATTCTCTTCTACAGGCTAGGCTTTAAAGCAGGACTACATCTTCCAGGATGAACCTGAAACGATGCACTGAAAATGTCAAAGCAAATGTTTTGACACATGCAAACCTAACTTT